ATACAAAAGATGTTATTTGCACAATAATCATGAATAAATTTTAGGATTTTCAAAAAACCGAAAACCGATCCAATCCAAACCGAAAAAAATTGGATTGGATCGGATCGGATTTGAAAAAAATCCAAACCGAATGGATGATTACATAATCAAACCGAAGAGATTGGATCAGATGTTTTTTCTTCAAAAACCGATCCAATCCAGACCGCGAACACCTCTAATAGATAGGCATAAACAAAAATGTTGTGTGTAAATTTTATCACCTACGTATTTTGAACTGTAAATAATATATATATATATATATATATATATATATATATATATATATATATATATATATATATATATATATATGAGATTTACATTTCTGTAGCTGTTGTACGTGCAGCAATCAAAACTTGCAATATATATACTTGAAAGCATTAAATGCGAGGAATCATAACCATACAAAGGATAAAAGCATTAAATGTAGAGAATCATAACCATACACGTGTCGTTGTTGTACGTAAAACGACTGCAGAAATTATTTTACCTATATATATAGGGAAAACATTTTCTCCTTTTAAAGGAGAAAATTTTTCTCATGTTAATGACTTATAGCATAAGTGGGTTCCATCTTAAAAAAAATTTTCTCTCCACTATTTTTTGGGCTCCACTTATATATTATGAGTCACTAACATGAGAAAAAATTTCTCCTTTAAAAGGAAAAAATATTTTCCCATACATATATATATATATTATAAATTTTGGGACATATCAAAGATAAAAATACTAATCACAAAAAGCCAAAGGGGTCACACAGCCCAACTAAACATACTCTTAATTGGGGATGCTGGGAGAAACTTAAAACTTTTGTATGATTCAAATATTTAGGGCCATGGAGGTTCAATAATACTAAGGCAAGAACAAAGGTTATGGCTACATGACCCCGTTGACAGAATTAAGCCCAAATTCCAAACGAAAAAATTGGGCATACTCTAAAGGCCCAAAATTTCCATCAACTTCCTCAAATACATGTGAATATCTACAGGCCCAGTGATGTTTCTATCTTATTTACATATTTAAAAAAATAGAAAACGAGATAACGTTATCTTCAGTGAGTCCAAAACGATGTCATTTTTGAGTTGTATGATTAAAAAATTATAATGATAAAGACTAATATAATCCTGCAATAAATTAGAATTACAAAAATACCTTAATTTCTGTCACAAAACGACATCGTTTAGTACTCACCGGAGATAACTTATCTTCCATTGACTGGAGAAGTACTTTACTCTTTAAAAAATGAAGTGAAGAAAAAAGGAATAAATATAAAAAGACCCAATAAAATAAAATGAAACTTTTTTGCTCATTTAAAATTCTATCCTTAATTTGTGGTCATCAAAGAATTTATTTTTTATTGAGCATGATTTGTCTAGAAATGAATTTTTGAGGGGTTAAGAACTACATAAGGTGTGTAGGAAATAAATAGAATGTTTTCCTATCACATATAAATCACGTTATACTAAAGAATTATCCATGATTTAAATATAAAAAAAATAATTAATCAAATTTACATATTTAATACTTAAAAAAATAAATCGTGTATTTTGAATAAATATTATAAATTCAAAATGGAATCGCCTTTATCTGACCCATTATATTCATTGAAGATGCCAATCCTCAGTCATTGGCATGAGAATCTATAATTAGCTTTTCCTTTGTTTTCCCTTTTGATCTGATAGTTTTTCCCATTTTACATTTTTTTGTCTAAGCTTTTCCTTATAATGCACATTGCAAACATCACTTCTCTTTGTGCCATGTTTATACGGCCTAACAATATTGTCCTGATCTTTTCCTACCCAAAGCTTGCAATTAACAAACGGCTGCCATGTTTGGTGTGATGTATAAGGCTTGATAGTATAAGCTTATATTATACATTATGATATTTTCAGTTGTTTGGTGTGACCATCGTATGTATAAAGTTATACAACAGAACCCCTTAATACATTAAAATGATGTATAACTTAATCAGGCCTAAGAAAGTGGGATTAGGCCTGATAAGGGGTTGATATATTAATATTGATTACAAGTACAATTTTAAAAAACTAATATATCATTTCAATAGTAATATATTAAAATAATTTTTTTAATATATTAAGTTTTAAAATATTTTAGGATATTATCTTATACAATATCATATCAAACATTGGATAGTATTAAAATTTAATCAGGTTTTATACTATCAGGCCTTATCCAATACTATACACCAAACATGTCCTAAAAGAATAATATATTTAAGGTTTATACTTTGGTTTTTATAAGAGTTATGTTGTAAGAAAAATGATTGTGTAATGTTATAGAGATTCGTTTTGCGTGCCTTAGTTTTTTTTTGTTACTTTAAAAAGTGCAGGCCCCATAAAATATTGTGTGTAAGAAATTTTTTCTTGTCATGTTAAAGGAAAAACTAAAACCCCTTATACTTTATATATATAGTTCATTGACATTCATGATCATCAACATCTAACCTTACATTATTAACATACAAAGTGAACAAAGGTCACAGAAAAGCAGACACATATATTACTAAAAAAAAAAATCAGCCACAGGAAGAGAGAAATAACTGTTTCTTAAAGAAAGAATAATAGAATATGCTAATGAAAACTGGTATGCAAATTTGGCCTATTGGCGTCCAGTAGTGCTAAAAGGAAGGAATGAAAAGGAAAAATAGCATGGATGTAGCTTCAAAAGGGAAATGGACTACAAAGTGATGTTTAGGGATGTCATTAATTGTCAGTTGGATGGGAAAAACTCATCTTGTAGAATATTGTTTAGGAGTAGGCTAGATTATAGGTGAAAAAAGAAGATGATCCTAATTGTTCTTTGCAAGTAACAAATTTTGGGTGCAGTGACGTCTTGCTTAAAATAAAAATAAAAATTGGAACTTAAATAAAAATATAAATTAAAAGCTAGATTTAAAGGAGAGAAAATTTTCCATTTAAAAAAAAAAAAATGTACCCAAATAGGTGCATTCGCTGTACCTAAGAAATTTTCCATTGCTAGAGGTGTTTATATATGATTGACATGTAGATATGGTATTTTTATTCAAATTGAAAATAGAAAAAGGGAAGTCGATTTGTTTATGTTAAAATTTCACATAATTTGATCATATAAAATTTTTGTGTTTATCTCTTTCTTCGTATATATTAAATAAGTGAAATTTAATTATTATTAATAAAAAAATAAATATAAAAATTTTGTATGATAGGACATATGAAATTTTAATGTTAGAAAATTTATTTCCTAATGCCTTCTCAGGGATCAGTGACCAAAGTGTCACTGTTGGTCAAAAAAATTACCAGACTGTCACGCCAACAGTAAATTTTGCCAAAATGCCACGTAACATATTTCGCTACATTGTGTAGCGAAATATGTGTGCAAATAATTCGCTACACAGTGTAGCGAAATATGCCACGTCAGACTGCTCAGAACCAAAAATGCCACGTGTCAAAATTGTAGAAATTCGCTACATAGTATAATTTTTTGACAAAATTTACTGTTGACGTGACAGTCTGATAATTTTTTTGGGCAAAAGTAACAAAAGTCATTGTTCCCCTTCTCAGTCTCTTAGCTGGAACTTAACAGTTCTATGATGGGCATGTACTACTAACAACCAGCAATCAATCTACTGCTTCTTAGATAGTAGTCTGAGCCAATGACAAGGCTTTGTACTTGGTAGGCCACAAGCCTCCCACAAATTTCACTTTTAAATTTTGCAAGAAATACCTATTTGAATTGACAATCTTTTTTTTTGGGTATCCTAAGTGACAAGTTATTCTTTCATCGGGTTAAGTATAAAAAAATTTATATTAAATTTTAATTATTAATTCACTTGCATTTAATCATTCATCAGGCATGGACCGAAGGTAGTTGCAAGCTCTAAAGCACGGCCACGGGATTTTTGGGAAAAAAATGTGTGTCGGACACGTGTTCAACACGGAAACGTTTCGACACGCGGTTGAGACACGTTAACTAAGAAGACACGATTTTGACCGAATCCGACATGCGGTCAACGTATATGGACACGTTTTGACATTTTTTTGTAAGAAATAAATAAAATTATTATTAAAAAATTTTTAATAAAAATTAAAAAGTAAACAAAAGAGAACCCTCACTACAAAAATTCAAGCATTTTGTGGGGGTCATATTTTCATATTGTGGGGGTCTTTGACCTCCACAAAATACATTTGTGGCATCCTCAATGACCTCCAGTTTTGTCTACGCCACAACATATTTTGTGGGGTCTTTATGTGCAATGCCACAATTTGTTAAAATATTTTCTGAAGGTTCTAAACCCCCACAAATGTTTCAGTTTCTGGAGGTTTAAGACCCCCACAAATTTGTTGAAATTTTTAAAAAAAAAATTTATTTAAAATTTTACGTTTCTTTTAAACCAGGTACATTCAAAAGGATAAAAAAAATTCATTCCAAATATTTGAATACATATCTAAATAGAACTTGGTTTTCAAAGATAAAAAAATCAAAGAGATGTATAAATGATATTAAAAACTAAAAGTTACTAAAAATTGATAACTATTTATGCAGGCCAAAATTTAGAAGTTATCCTGTTTTACAAGTAGCCTCGAACTTATTGAAGATACAATATTATCTTAAATAGTACATCTATAAATCATTAAGAACCTTACTACCATATCCTTATTGTATTAGGCGTAAGATGATCTTTTATTCTGTTAATGTTTTTCAGGCATCAGGGTATATTATCATTTCATCGATCGTGATTGTTCTTTCCATACATAGGATTCCACATTAAATCAAAGCGGCGCATTCATTGTCAAACAGATGTTACTGGAATGTTTGTATATTTATTTATTTATTCTAGCACAAAGACAGTCCAAAGTACTTTTGATCAAGCAAAATTTTGCATATCTTCTTTGCTTATATTTCATTAGAGTAAATGCATAAATAGCTGAAGTGCTGAACAACTTGAATCTTAAAATATGCTTAGAGATGGAGAACAAACCATGAACAATTTCACCAATCTCTGGCAAGTAACATAAATGAAGCAACCAGAAACTTTAAGCAATACCATAATTAGAAATAAAATCAGGCTGGTATAAGTTTGCATTACAGGTAAACACAAACATCAGCCAAAAAAGAGAGAGGAAAATACAAGGTAAATACCACTTCTGACATTGCCATATATACAATGTCCTTTTGGGGCTGGAGGAGCAGCTGGACGGCGACCAACTAATGAATCCAATTTCTTCTCACGTTTAAGATATGACACCCATTTTCCTACCCTGAGCTCCATATTTTCTGGTTTTTTCCTGTGTCATATAAGGGATATGTACTTTTTAAGTTTTAACACAATGTAACTGAGACAGAAAAGAAATGAAACAAAATTCACGTTAAGAAACCACAAACTGAATTTGAAATTGCTAAGTTGCAACGAAAAAATTCTCAGAAGCAATGGAATTATATCAATTTAAGCACCTAGTTGACTCAAAATTTACCGCGAGGCCCATCTTTCATTAAGTTTATTGCTCAATCGTTTCCACCAATCCTCATCTTTCTGCTGCAGCTCAACTTCCTCCATGAGAAGCCTCCGCCGCTCATTCTCCCTATTCTTCTCCCAATTAGAGAGATTTACTGCCAAGAGTGAGGACATGTTTAAAAATCACAGAAACAAACACAAACACATGTTAATTGGCCCAATAAAATGCAAGAATGAATAGAATATCAAATTCCAATTTTAACCTTAAATGCATGTCGTCTAAGTATATGGGGACATTGATGAGAGAGAGAGAGAAAGAGAGAGAGAGAGATGAAGGTGGAGAGGGTGACCTCTTCCTTGTAGAGTTTAAGTAGTTATATACGGAGGTACCATCCAGCAAGTCAAGGTAAGATCCTGGCAGAGGAAGAGAGGGAGGATCATCTCTAAAAGATTGACTTTGTAACAATGCTCCAACAGCACCAGCATAGAAAGGTCCTAACGCTAGGCTTCTCCCTTCACAGAGAACAATTTTGCCCTTGACTTTATTTTTGTCCAACGTACCACCAGAGCAAAACCTGCATTATGGAAAATTTTCATTAAAAAATTAGAGTATTTTAGAATGTTTCAGCTATTGACCAATGATATTTTGGAACACTAAGGACTATCTGTACTTGTACAGCTGTTTGTTTGACCATAATGTTATACTTATACATCTCAAGTTAAATGACATCAGGACTAGTTACCTGGATATAGATCCATCGTAGTCTCCTTTAGTGTGTGGTGCATCTCCACCATAGATTATAGGATACAATTCTCCCTTAAGGTCAAATGAATTTATTGAGATTCCCTAAACATGGAATAAAAAAATTGACATGATCCTGATGTTACAACTTTATATGACGAAAACTTATTTAAGTCAATATTCTTATAGTCCATCAAATCACAAGCCTACTTAGCTTATATTGACTTTCACAAATGAGGCCATGAGGCATGCTCAGGCATAGGATAGAGAAGTTAATTTACCTCAAAAGCTCTGTTGTTACCTAATTCAATCTTGGTAACAAACTTCCTGTCTATGATGCACAAATACCAAAAATTTGTGTTAGCTTAGATCACTTAATATTATTGGTGTTCAGTCATGGCTTCCTTAATTCACATAACCAATTTTTCACAGCTTTACCTTTGGCAACAAAGCATCCATTGTTCTTCCTATCAATCTAGTAAACCTCTCATATTCACCATCATCGCTTTAACCAAGGATTTGACTGGTGATTCTCCTCTAACTTTGCTATGCTTTCCTGACCCACAAACCACTGTGATTTCTGCAGGAATTCCACAATTTGAGTCATTCAACCTTCGTTGCATCTCCTCCAACCAAAGTATCATAATTAAATAGGATGATCCCAAGTGAAATCCATGCAAATCCAATTTTGCCTCCGAAGAACCCCACACCATTACCTCTTCCAAAATCACAGAAGACACTAGTAACTCCCTAACTACCATAGCCTCTCCTCCTTCCAAGCTACCATCAACTCTTCAGTTGACAATGGGAAGTTATTCAACTCCATCATCATCCTCATGATCGTTGGGCAAGAATTTGATACAGAATTGTAGGTTCTGATTAAGAAGGGAACGCCCGAATTCCTCATCCTCTGAAGCCAAGAAACCATTTCCACATGCTTTCCATGAATGCCAAAAGCTGAAAGAACCATGTTGGAACAAACAGTATCAATAACGAACCCACTTTTCTCCATTTGATCCATAACTCTCTGCAAATCTTGAAACAAACCCAATCTTCCATACCCGTAAATAATAGATTTCAACTCAAAAGCCAAAGGATGGGGTGGGGGAATCTCATACTAAACTCACATATAAATAAACAGAGCAATAAAAGACCTTAAAACAAAAATAATCAAAGCTATAAAAAAATACCCGTGTTCATTCAAGCAGTAGATGAGTTTCCCGAATTCCACATTCCGTAACTTTACAAGTGAGTCAAATAAAGCATTGAAGAAAAACATGATTGCGAAGTTTTTAAAATGAAACGAACTCTTCCCATAAGCATCAATCAAACTATTAAGATGGCATTATTTTACAAATAATTGAAACCAAACAACAATAAGTTCACAGCAACTCCAATGCAGTAGAACATATAGTATGTAAAACTCATTTAACAAAAAAGAATTTACATGATGGAGAAGTAATCAATCAAAGAGTCAAATAACAGAAAACTTTGTGCAAGCAATTATAATCAAGAGATTAAAAGGTTGTTTGAATTGGAGTTTCAAGTGAAATGGTTTGCCTGAACCATCAAGTACTTGCAAAATGAGAATGTGAAAATTGAGGACACTGACAGAGCATTAAAATCAGAATCATCGAATTATAGGGTTTAGCTTTTTATGGATTTCGATTGGAATAGACAGAGATCTGGGAATATGAAGTTTACCATGTCGTTTACATAGGTGATGTACCAGGTAGGTTACCTCAATTTTCTTTCACAACTCGATTGCAGCCATGGAGGTGACCTCGCCATTGACGAATCGTATTTGCTTTAGAGAGGAATAGCACCGAGCTCTACGGAAGACGAAGAAGTTTGAAATAATAAGAAAATAAGGAGAGAAAAGAAATAAAGTCATAACGAGTTTCTTATATTTCAAAAATTAGATCCAGGAAAAATAGCAATGTGTCATAAGAAAGTAGCTTTATATAAGTTTTGTGAAACTTTGCCATATTCTATCTGTTGCAGTTAATCGATGGTAGTCAAATGCCAAATGTGGCGTTTCTTGAAAATGCCACAATGTGTGTATTTTTTGGAGGTTTTAATGACCTCCAATAAATAACCTCCACAAATCACACATTTTTTTGTAGTGCCTATCCTATTCCTATCTCGTTCACTGGACGCTGCCTCATCTCTTCTTCGTCGTCGGATCTCTACTTCTCGTCTCTTCTTCCTACGCTCGTCCTCTACATCTCCGGTCTCTTTCGAATAAGAAACCCGGTAAGTCTCTTTCGATTCTCATATGATATTTTGCTGTGATGTTTTGTTGTCGTGAAGTGTGAATGGCTATGGGATGCCATCTATTTTGTTTTATGGGATGCCATCTATTGCTGATACTGTGAAGTGTGAATGGCTATGGTTCTTTCAATTTTCCATTTTCCAATTTAACTATTGTTTTCCTGTCCAATTTTTCGTGTTCACTAGTGTGAAGTGATGTATAACTATGGGGGGATAACATTATTTGGGTTTCTACTTGATCGAGGATTGCTTCATACTCTGATTGCTTTTGAGTTCTCTCTGGTGCTGTGGATTCTGAGTATGGTGGCTGTATAGTCTTAACCAAATAATATAGGTTCATTGTTTTTGAAATTGATTGATTCAATATGATAAATGTGAAAAAATATTGCATTTGTTTGTTTTGAAAATCACCGTGAAAAATTAATGAGTCACAACTCACAATACTCGTTTGTTGGATATGGTGTCTTCTGGCCTTGCATGTTGGATGGAGGATTCCTCTATGGGACTATTGTTGGATATGGCTTCCAATGGTTTTGGAATCACACGTGTTGGATAGACATGGGTGAGCACTTTGCTAGAGCTTGGAGGGAGAACCATTTTGTGCATGGTTCCTCTTACATTAGAACTTTCAAATTCACTGCAACTGCATCCAATTTCATTGTTAAGCAAAAAGTTGTCCAATTGAACAGCAGCAGGTGCATTCCAGTTTTCATTTGTATGGAATTTGTTGCCTTCCTTAGCACAATCTCTTATGCTAACACTGTCATTGGAATTGGTGTTAACATTTTTGTTACTTTGAGCTGCAGAATAGTGAGTGGCCTATTGAATAACGGAAAGGCATTTGAAGCATCTTAGCATTGTTTGGAGCATATGGTTGGGTTGGTGGCTGTGGATTAGGCTGATGGATACCTCCAACATTTGCAAGGAGGTTGTGTTGGACTTTCATCATTGGAGACCCTTACTGAATGGATATTTTCATTTGGTTACCTAGGAGGCCTTGCCCATGGATCAAACTTATGACATGCATCTCGATACCTTGTGTCTTTTGTATTTCTAGAGTTCTGTTATGATCATTTAGGAGGGAGAATATGTCATCGTCTTAGCTTGTATTACATTCTTTCTCTTTTGTGAATGGAATTGATTTGATTAACCCCCTTCTTCTTTTTTTAAATAATTTTTGGGGTAAGGTCTTATTGTTAACTATATTATATATATTAAAAATTTTATTTACTATCAAAACGTGTTCTAACGTGTCGAAATTTAGCAATTTTTAGAATTAACATGTTGGAGTGTCGTGTCATATCTCGTGTCCCGTGTTCGTGTCCGTGCATCATAAGTTGTAAGTATTGACTATCGTTCTTCCTTAAATTTTAATTTTTTGTTATTATATATATAAAATAATATTTATTTATTAATAATAAATTATTAGTATTAATAATTAATCCCTTTTTAAAAAATAGTTGTAATAATTAGTTTATCCTATTATTCTTAATAATACTTATAACCTTGATATTTTTTTTTTGTCTCCCATTATAAAAATTCTAGAGACTGTCACTGCCACTCACATATCTAATAAGTCATAGTCAGTAGATATCAATAAGATAAATGACAAAAGATTAAAAATATAACTTAAATTGGTACGGATGATCCTGATTCCTATTTTGAGATATATATTTGCTCAGATTCTATAAATATGTATGTATTTGGTTTGCACATCATCAAATGCAAGGTGTCATGAGGAGAAAATCCAATTCGTTGTGGGACAAAATATTTCCTTTTAATTAATAAATTAAATTGCCATAATTTGTACAATGGAACTAAACCATTGTTTTGTTCATTTTCACATTTGGCATTAAGTTTGCAGCGGTAAGAGAATGTTGTTAATACAGCTATGGATGGTGATTGTATAGCCATTAGCCATTGTCTGATAGCAATTAATTTTACATGAGTGGTGTGAGTTAAAAAGAACTTAGAATAGCAACCTCAAAAAGTTGATTTAGTTGTGAATGAGCATGTGAATGTGTAGATAAGTATATGTTCATAGATTTGAATCTAATTATGCCAATTATTTACCAAGACCAATTGGCTATGAGTAACACTCTTGTAAATTGTTTGATCTAACATGAATGATTAACCTTTAACTAAATCAGAAAAATGAATTAGACAAAATAGGTAAAATTGGGCACAGAGACTACTGCCATAAGAAAAGAAAAGGACACTGTATCTGTTAATGAACAGGTGTGACTTTAGTATCCAAGAAATCTTTGGAATATAGAAGAGTTAGATTCAACGTGTTGCACGAAATTGACCGGGCTTGTAAAAAAGGCTATGCGATTGGCAAGAAAGTAAGTATACAAAGACAACTATATTAATTATGAGAAAAATGTTTCTGTAGTTAATGCAGATAAATTATCTGCATTTATTTTTAAAACAATGTCGTTTTGGTATTGAAATCTTAAAAAATTATAAATATAAAGACTATTATAATCCTGAAATAAATTAAAATTACAAAAATATCATGATTTCTGCTCAAAACGACATCATATTGAGCTTACTGTAGATAACTTATCTGCAGTAAGGACAGAAAAAGCGAACCCATTAATTATTCCAAAAAAAAAAACTTTTTTTTGGAAATATATAAATTATTTTCACAATTTTAATTCAGGAGTGGTATAAACCAAATTAAATACCTCTCCAATAATACTTCTCCAAGGATTGAACTTTCTTCGTACAACCAACTTTTTTTTTTTTTAGTAATTCGTACAACCATTTTTAATCACTACAACCGACACCCATTGAGTTTATTCCAATATCTTTTCATGTATAGTTTTAGGAAAATCATGTTGCATGAGATAATTATCTCATGTAACAGAGATAAAGTAGTGGTGTTCATATTATTATTATTTTTTATACAAATGGTGGATCTTACTATCTTGTCTTTGTTGTATGAGATAATTATCTCATGCAACATGAGATTAATAAATTTCATAGTTTTATACACTAAAAGGTTGTAACGGTGTGTTTGGTTTGAGGATTTTGATGAATTTGATAGGCAAATGAGAAGTGGGTTTGTAAGATCACCATGTTTGGTTTAATGGGTTTCCCAATTTGCCTACATAAAGCTTATTGCCAGCAACTTATGGTTGCACGTCTATTGGGAGGAAATAGCCGGCTAACATGTTCCCACCTGACATGTGGTATTGTCCATTATCTACATAAATGGGATTATCGTGTAATAGCTTTCTGACGAACGTACCCCCTGATTGTGTTATATTTGTACAAAATAGGGTTATTTTTGTAATTATAACTTTTTTTTCATCTATATTTTATCTACACCCAAATATAAACTTTATAAAAGTTACCTGATTTTCCCAACCAAATTTTTTCCAACCAAACAATTTTTTTTACATTTTTCTACCAAACATAATCCTCCAACCATTTCTCTATGCATAACATTTCCGTATTATTCATAAAATTTCTCCTGAACCAAACGCCCCCTGAATACTTTGCACATGGGCTACTCACGCTTGGAAATTGACATTTTGATTGTAAGTACTTATTAAGGTTTGTGATATGTTGTAATCCAAAAGATAATAATTTATTTTTCTCCTAAATAATAACTTATTATGACATTTTTAATAATATTTAAAAAGATAACTTATTATGGCATAAATAGCCATTAAAGCACCTGCAGGCTGCAGCAATGTTTGAATTCCTTTTCACTATATGGGCTTGCTTCCTTTCTCTAATTAATATTCTTAATTTGGAAGTTCAAGTCCCATATTTAAATTTTTATCCATTTCAAGCGGTGGAAATAAATTTACAAACATAGTTTCATTTATTTTAATTGATTAAATTCTATCATTTATAAGCAAATCAGTTCATAACCATAAAAAATGTAATCATAAAACCATGCAATATTAATATCAAAATATAATAAGGTTTAGTTAAAAGAGTTAAAACGAATTCACTCATACATTTTATCAAGTTTATATATGATAAACT